TTGCAAATATATAAATGTTACAAATACATTAAATACTTTGATTATATATTAAATATATTATAAGGAAATATGTAATTTAATTATGTATAATATTGATTGATATACTATATAGCGCATTAATCTATTATATTAATATATGAAACATTGATATTTATGTTTTTATATTTGTGATATATTTACTGTGTAAATAATAAAACATTTATATATAAATTTTCCATGTATATTCTATTTGTTATATATGTTTTGTTTTTTGTTTTTTGAGAGTGAGAGAGCATGAGCAAGAGCACTAGTGAGAGAGCATGAGCAAAGGGAGAGGCAAAGGGAAAGGGAGAAGCAGACTCCCCACTGAGCCTGGAGCCCAACGTGGGGCTCGATCCCAGGACTCCAGGATCACGACCTGAGCCGAAGACAGACGCTTAACCCACTGAGCCACCCAGGGATCCCTCTATTTTCTTTTTTATACCTTCCCATACTTACTAAATGTTCTACAAGCTTAGAAAAATTTAAATTAAAAGTTTTTTGTTTGTGTTGTTTTTAATGTCAAGAGTTCCCACTTTCCCATCCATAACTATGGCCATCAGAAACCCCAGATTTTGTGACAATCTGGCACCTGCTGACCTTTCCAATCTCATCTCCTCCCCCTGTGATTCACTGTACTCAGTCACTCTGGCTTCTTTCTGTTCTTGGAAGCACCTAAACTCATCCTGCCCCAGGGCCTTTGCACTTGCTGTTCCCTCTGCCTAGAATGCTCCTCCTCTAAATCTCACTGCATCCTAGTCCCTCACTTCAGTCAGGTCTCTGCTCAGATGTCACCTTCTCCAAGAAGGCTTCCCTGACCTAAAAGACCCCTCTCCCTGCTCCTCCACTCTATCCCCTAACCTTATTTCACATTTCTTTTTTTTTTTTTAAGATTTTTTTATTTATTTTTGAGAGAGAGAGAGAGCATGAGTGAGAGGGGCATGCAGGGAGCCCAAGCAGGACTTGATCCCAGGACCCCAGGACCATGACCTGAGCTGAAGGCAGACGCCCAACTGACTGAGCCACCCAGGAGCCACTTATTTCACATTTCTTTTTTTTTTTTTTTTTATTTGAGAGAGAGAGAATGAGAGAGAGCAAGCACATGAGAGGGGGGAGGGTCA